CACACACACACACACACACACACACACACACACACAAACACAAACACAAACACATGCTCGTCTTTTTTTTTTTTTTTTTTCTAAACACCCCCATCGGTGCTAGTGGTGCTGGTAAGAGGTAAGAGCGGACAGCACTAGCACCCGGGGAGAGGCTCCATCTATCGGTGGGGAGCATCACCTGCTGGAAAGCGGGTCCAGCGTCCCATTTACAGAATGGCCTTGGATGATATCAGAACAAGAATCTTGAGAGGTTCCTGCCAGCATTGATTACTCTGGAATCCAGAGGATTGACTGAGCAGGTCATTGGAAAGAGGGGAGAGAACCTCTTCGCCCTGTGCCAGGCGCCAGATATCTTGCTATTACCCACTAGTTCCTTCCTCCCCCCCTTTATCCGCTCAGGCAGTAATATAGATGAGGATTTGAAGAGAGACTAGACTTTTTAAGTTTGCTATATACAGCATTGTAGAATCAGCACTTCCACCTTGACAGCTTCGACAATGATCATTCTCTCTCTTTCCCAAACAGGCTGCTTATCTTCGCCGACCACCACCGTTCCCCCCTCTTCTACCCTGACTCCTTCCATTGCTAATAGGCAACGCTGCCACCAGAGGGCCCAGAGGGGACCGATATTCTGCCTAGTCTATACATGTTTTCTGTGAGCCATAGCTGGACTGTGTCCTGTCAATATCACCTGCCAGAACCATGGCCAGGGGGTAATTTTGCGACATATACGGTCCCACCACCGCCATGTCAGCAGCGCTACCGGGCATTGCATGAAGACATGCTTGATGGTCTCATTCCACTTGTGTGGGGGGAAGGCTGCCAGGCATCGCTGGCACTAAGGTGTTGCAACCCCCTTTTGTTCCAGGCTTGTGTCAGCAAGCCGGGCATTAGTTGGGCGGCAGCGGTGGGCGATCTACCACGGCAAGATGTAACCTTGGCTGGCCTGACCTTGTTGTCAGCAAACCGTCGGATCGGTGTGATAAGGGAGCGATCTACATTGAGGTGTCTGGCCAACTGGTCATTTATCAGGTCGCGCAGCAGTCGTTTGGGGCGGGGAGCATTCTGTATGTGGATTTGACCGACAGGCTGTGGAGGTCGATCCTTTTGTTGGTAGCTCGTGTCGCTCTTCCGCCAATCTTCCATTGCCATTATTGAGGATCGACGGCAAGTTCGTGAATGGGAGTGTGGGGGAGGAAAACCGTGCTGTCTTCTCCTTCCCCCAACACTCGCACCCGTGCACTTTGACTGAAATGAGAATTTCAAATTTCTCGATATGGCCCTGAGAGGAAACTCGCAATTGTCTATTTTCCCGCAGCGAAAAGCAACCGAGCAACGAGCACATCGCACGCCGTGCGCGCGGTGTTGTTGCGCTGCATAATACCTGTCGGGTGGGCACCGCACAGCTTCGCACGGCACAGGGCCGGGCCGGGCCGGGCCACACATGGCGGTGCACGGTGCAGTGTGGCCATCTCCTGTGCGGTGTGCTGCTGAGTGCAATGCTTGAGTGCACTGCGCGCACTGCGCGACCATCCCTGTGGAACCCTTTCTTTTTTTTTTTCCTTTTTCTTTGGGGGGGGGGGGGGGGGGGTTAGGGGGAAGTAAGGGGTGTGGATCGCGGACCTCCTGGCTGCAAAGCTGCAAACACTACAGCAAGTTCTTATTGTAGTGCAACACAGCAAGTTTAACCCTGTAAACACTGCAATACCTTTTTTTTTTAATCAAAAATTTGGAACATTTCTCGATTTATGCGTGTCATCCTTGCGCAGGGGCCATGCTAATCTTCTCTCTCTCTGTATCGTTCCAATTTTAACGGATGTCCCGAAGGACAAACACTGCAATACTTTAACATTAATACAGAAGACCTTTGGGGAGCCAAGTGGAGCAAGTTTGCAAGACGCATGACAACCAATCCGAATCAAAGTTACAAGCTGGGATTATAAATTCGGAGTGTCAACATAAATTCGAGTCGGGATTAGAGAATCAAATCATGTCTGCAGTGCTCTGCAAACTCTGCACTAGAGGGTCCAGAGAAGGAAAACAGACTCCCAAGACTTACACCAACCCATCCTGCTGCTCTTCGCCTCTGTCCTCACCAGTGCCGTCACCCTCCTCTTCGCCCCCCTCGTTGCTGTCCACAATGGGAGATTGACCGTTCCATTATCATTGTCATCCCAATTTGACGATGATGACGGTGATGATGATGCTGATGCTGATGATGATGATGAAGCAAGTGTCGTCATCTATGATCTGTCCCCTCTGTCTTCTCCCTGCTGTCATCGCTAGTCTCAAGGCTGCTGCAACGTCTGAGGACACAGCTGCTGCACCTCCTTTTGCTGCTGCTGCAGCTTTCTATGCAGCCTTCTCCACCGCTTTCCTCGCAGTGACATCCTGTTCCATGGGCATCATCTCGCCCCCTTTCTCATCTCCAAGGGGGTGCAATATCTTCCTCTGGGCCACGTTCCCCTTGGCCTGGTACCGTCCTCCTTGTTGCCGGCTGCTGCCACGCTGTTGTCTCCCCTCCATCCAAGCGTCGTGCGCCTATCTCTCCTGCCCCGAGTGCACACTCCGCCTCTGCCATATTATATCGCACTGCAGGGTCTTAGCTCTCGGCGCCTGCTCACCTCCCCAAAACGTGCTCCCTATGCCTCCCTGGCGCACTGCAGAGCTGCCACTACCAGGTGCCACCGCCAGTGTGCGCAATGCTTTCCTTGCGCAACCACCTCTGTGCCAAATGCGTGTCGCCTTCGATCTCCACCTCCGAGTCTGTAATCTTCTCCATCACATCGTCCACCCTATCCCTGGTGTTGTTCTCGGCTCTTTGTACCCACTCAACATACCAGTCCTCTGTCTCCACCTTCCCTTCCTAATCGGGCATGTCCTCAAACCGCGGGATGGGAACATCGTCCTGGCCAGCCCCGTGCTCTTGCATCCACGGCAAGTGAAAGTTAAAAATTCTGATTGCTGTAAATGAGCTCCGCTTTGGAGGCCTGGCATCATCATCCTCCTCCTCCTGCCAAAAATATTAGAATAGTAAAAAATTAAAAACATATAAGCTAGCTCACGTAAGCTCAGGGACGCTTGACCCGATTTCCAGCAGGTGCCGCTCCCCACCAATAGATGGAGCCTCCATGGGAGTGCTAGCGGTGTCTGCTCTTACCAGCACCCCTAGCACCACCCCAGGTGTTAAAAAAAAAAAAAAAAAAAAAAAGGAAGCTCCGATTCCACTCGCATGCAGTGAGGAGCTCGCCTGGCTTAGGCACTTTATCGCCTGCGGCTGCAGCAGGTTCAGCCGTGAGCGAAAATCCATCCCACCACATCGCAGAGGTCCTCACTGACTTGCCGGTGGAAAAGGAACCGGACTGCTGCTCCCCAGAACAGAATGAGCCTCGTTAAAATATACAAAAATAAAAAAGAAAAGAAAAGAAAAGAAAGAAAGAAAGAAAGAAAGAAAGAGGTCCTCAGACAACCGTATTGAATGCTTGATTGGTGAAGGTCATCAAGTAGTCGAGAGGCTTACTTGCGGGTCCTCTTGTTCCAAGTCCTCCGATTGCAATTTTTGCCGGGTCTAGCCGCACAACAAACCTAAAGCTGGGCGTATGTTCGGCATCACTGCCACCCTACCACCACCATCTCCTCCAGCGCTGTCTCACACGATCTTCGGCCCTCTGCTTTTCAGTCTTCTCGCCGCTGGGGATAGCAAACTTGAAGACCTCTACAACTAAGTGCTGCGCAGAGTGAAACGCGGCCTCGACGACTTCAGGGACGATGTGGCTGCAGACATCACCGCCACCTACCACCATCTCCTCCAGCAGCCTGCCCACCCACACATGCAGCAACCAAACTCGAGACAGTCGGCGGATTGCTTCCCCCCTCTCTGCCATTATCCCCCCATGTCAAGCATTGCCTGCCGCAGCCCCTCCTCTTCAAAACCTCCTCCGCTGTTTAGGTTTTTTCCACTCTTCTTCACTGCACAAATCAAATCTCTTCCGCAGGCGCTATAAAGTGCCTGAGCATCCGAGATCGCACAACTTGCACCCCCACCATTTCGCCCCCCCCCCCCTCCCTGTTGGGATCCTGACGTGAAGCCCCATTGGGATCGAACTGCCGCTTGATCGAACCGGCATCTCTACTTGCAGCTCGAAGATGATGACCTACCTGCAGGCAACGACCACTGAAGCCACAAAATCAGCCCTACTGTAGTCTCTCTTTGTCCCAATCGGAATCACTGCATGCTATACTTTTCCCAGCCATTTTGTTCTGACGTGGCCGTAGACGCGCTGTGACCTACCACATCAAAATGGCTGGCAGCGAGACGCAAAAAAAAAAGAGAACGATCACACACACCGGTGTATTTTTTATCCAGCCGCAGCAGAAATCCGCGTTGGAAAAAAAAAAAAAAAAGAGGCTTGGTAGCTCTGGTGGCTTAAGCATGCAGCCTTCATTATTAGCAAAGTCTGTCAAACAGTCAAACTTGTGCAACGGCCTTACTCGGGAGGTACTCCCCCCAAACTCTGCAGCAGCCAAATTCCCCCCCCCCCCCCCCCCCCTTTCTCCCTATTCGCCACACCACCTCCCACGCTGATATCTGCGCATCTACGCAATAAACATTGCATGCCATCCACGATGAAGCGCTGCTTCAGGCTGCCCACAGACCCCATGATGATGTTGTCACAATAGCGACACCAACGCCGGTGTTGTCATGTACCCCTTTTTGAGGCTGCCCAAAGACCTGAAGAGGTCCTCAGGCAACATCTCATGATGATGTTGTCACAATAGAGATGGGTTCTCTCAGCCATGATGTTGTCATGTACCCCTTCTTGGAGTCGCTGAGAGAACCACGGTGTGTGAAGTGCCTTTGCATGCTGGACATTCTGCACCAAAACCGGATTAGAGATGAGATGGGATTCAATTCGATTGGATCCATGTCATGTACCCCTTCTTGGAGTCGCTGAGAGAACGACGGTGTGTGAAGTGCCTTTGCATGCTGGACATTCTGCACCAAAACCGGATTAGAGATGAGATGGGATTCAATTCGATTGGATCAGATTCGATTTGATCTGATTTGGTTCAATTCGATTCGATACAATTTTATCTGATTGGCTGATTCGTTGGTTGTGTTCGGCTGGTTGGTTGGTTGGTGAGATAGGGTCTGGGCAGGTGGGACAGGGCTGGGACAGGCAGGAGAGGTCCGAGAGAGGTCTGCAACAGGTCATGGGCAGATAGGACAGACAGGTGGGACAAATCTTGGACAGGTGGGACAAGCCCTGGACAGGTGGGACAGGTCCGGGACAAGTTCACGGCAGCCGTCAGACCGGCGCTAGAGGCCTGGGACCTGTGGGAGAGGTGGGAGAGGTGGGAGAGGTGGGAGAAGCCTGGAACAGACGGAAGAGGCCTGGGACAGGGGGCAGTGCAGGTAAGGGGTTGGGCATAGCGTGATGGGGGTAGATTTTATGAGGGGAGGGAGCATTGTATAGGGGCGTGGGCGGAGATTTGATGTGGAGGTGACACAGAAGAGGGTGTTGGGATGGTGCATTGAGGGGGTGATGGGGGTAGGGATGGCAATGGAGGCGGCAGATTCAGTAGGGGTAGAGAGAACACAATTGGGAGGTGGGAGGAGACTGGATGGGGCCCATCGGGGAAGAGACCATGGAGTAAGGGGGTGGGCATAGCACAATGGGCAGGAGGGAGCGTGGAATAGGGAAGCGGAGGCAATATTTGACAAAGGGTGGGAATGTTGCAGTGGACGATGGAGACTCGACGGGGGAGGGAGCATGATTTGGGGGGAGATTCCGTGGGGGAGAGATCACGCAATAGTGGAGTGGGGAGGACATTTGACGGAGGGAGGGAGTGCAGAGTAGGTGGGGTTTGGGAGGAGGTTTGATGGGGGAAGAAAAAAGGAATAAGGGAGAGGATACTTTGCTGCCCTTTACCTGAGGGGAAAAAAAAAAAAAAAGATGTATTTGGCATTTGCCGCATTTGACTAAGTAAAAGGAAAATAAAACAATTCGAAGGAGACTAAGGAGGAGACGAGGAGGAGGAAGAGGTGGTGGCGAAGAGGAGAGGGACAGAGGAGAGGAGGAAATGGTGGTGGCGAAGAGGAGAGGGACAGAGGAGAGGAGGAAATGGTGGAGGAAAACCGAGGAGTCGGGAGGAGAAGTCGAGAGAAGGTGACCACGAGGAGAGGAGGAGACAATGAGAGGAGGAGGATGAGGGGACTTCGCTGCCACTGCCGAAGTGCAAAAAAAAAGGAAAATTCCAAATTGCATCTGTCGATTTCGTACCCAATTTAAACACAGGAATTCCCACTACACCTACCTTCTTCCCCCGAATACAACATACGGTCATTATAACTGTATATAGACTGCAAGATACCCCAAATACAGCTATAATTACCGTACGCTGTATTCGGGGGAAGAAGGTAGTCCCAGCGCCTAACTTGCAATGTCCTACTTTTCCCAAGTGCTAAATTATACATGTACCAGGTCTGTGCTCGGTCCCACAGGGCCTCGGTCCCGAAGCACAAATTATGCCCATGCCCAGCAACTGGGCAGGCAAAATTAGCCATGCAAATAATTTGACTAGGTACGTCCATGATTTGAGCACGCGATAATTGGATATAACCACGATCTGGCTGTCAGTACCTTGGCCTGCCTCGGCCCCAGGCATCGACATAACTTCCACAGGCGATTTCCTGAACAGCTTGTGTCCTTCCACAGGTATAGAGTCCAGAGACACAAGCTGGGCGCTGGGACTGGGTACAATCTTACAAAGGGAACTCCTATGAACAGGGTACAGACTGTCTCTTATACACATCTAGATGTGTATAAGAGACAGGGCCAGCCCCGTGCTCTTGCATCCACGGCAAGTG